CCTATATAATTAGCACTAAAGCTTAACATGATAAGGAATTCTTCGCTTGTCCTGTGTTTCTGTTAGGGTTCAATACTCAAAAACGTGCACTGGGTCGCGCTTCAGGCCTTTCTACGAGTACTGCGTCATCTAGTCATAACCGCCACAGATTTTTGTAGATACACTATGGGCCAAGCGGCCACACAGTGTAGACAGCAAGCACAATCCGGTTGTTATGATTTTCTATTCAACGCATTCAGACCATCTGTGCTTGCAAGATGAAGGGATGTATCGTCATTTCCATCGTACGCAAAAAGGTTCGGACGAGCGTCCCACAAAGTCGCCTGGCAACTCTAGCCACAGATATTGACTGCACAAAGAATTGGCCGTTGAGTTCCAATTGGACGATTTCTTGGGACTATGCCCAAGATATTCAACCGTTTACTACTTCCTGCGAAATATTCTGAGCTTCGTAGCGGGGAGGCATCCGAATGATTTTGACACCTGCGAGGTTGTTTCCCGATATTCATCCATTCGGTCTTCATATGTAATAGAAAGATCTTCAAGCCATTGGTCCCAGCACATAGCCTCCAGAGAAGTCACTCCACCTCCTCACTTCGCTTGGGATCACGCCTTCTTTCTTCAGGGGTATCTTCTCGCTCATGCATCTTGCGAAGAGGAGCGCAGTCTGTCCCCGTAGATTAGTATCATTATATTAATTGGCTTGGAGGCCAAATATCTTACCTGAGGTTCCATAAACAGCGGCACACCAAAATCTACCGCATTCCTCCTCATGACATAGTCCTGATCAAGTTGAGTCTCAGCCCGCGCGTGTGCCAAGTTAAAAACACCACGAATATTATGTTCTCGGAACACTTCCCTTAGAGCGCGCTTATCGGTGATTGGGAAATCGACCACGGTAACAGTGCAGCCATCTTTCGCCGATGATTCGAGGTGTGATGCCACTTCTTGATTGGCGGCAAAGAATTTGTATCCTAGTGGCTGGAGATAGTCGACAATGCCTGCTAATTGAGGTTTCGAGACGTCACCGCCAAACAAGAGACCTTCTCCGGGGAGAGGAAGGCGGAAGTTCATGGTCGATTGTAGAGCGGTCCAGTAGGCTTCGACGAGATCTTTACCGAAACAGGCAATTTCACCTGTGCTGGCCATTTCGACACCCAAGAATGGATCTGCTCCAGGAAGACGGCCCCACGAGAACTGGGACACTTTCGTTGCAACGTAATCCCGCTTCTGGGCCATGAGATCGACAGGTTTGGGTACATCCACGCCTGCAAGAGCTTTCATGGCAATATCGATAAGATTTGTGCCGAGGACCTTGCTCACAAAGGGGAAAGACCGCGAGGCGCGAAGATTGCATTCGATGACCTTCAGCGCGGGTTGGCCGCCGTTCGGGTCGTCAGCTTTGATGATTTGCATGTTGAATGGCCCGGTAATGCTCCAAGCCTTAGCGACCTTCTGGGTAATTTCCTTGATGCGCGCCATGGTACGGTTATCGAGGTTAACGGGAGGTAGAACAAGGGTGGCGTCACCACTGTGCACACCCGCATTTTCGATGTGCTCTGCTACTGAGTGGACTAGAAGCTCGCCGGCAGACCCGACGGCGTCGACGTCTATTTCTTGGGCACCTTCGATGAATTTCGTAATGACGACTGGATGATCTGGAGAGACTGAGGAAGCGGATAGGAGTTTCTCTTTCAGATCTCCGTGACTGCGAATTACGTTCATGGCGGCACCAGAGAGGACGTAGCTAGGTCGGACGAGAACGGGGTAACCCACCTGAAAGGATCAAAGCATGTTAGGAGCGTTAGCATACGCGAGAAGGCAGACTTACCTTGTCTGCGAAAGCTTCAGCCTCTGGGACGGACTTGAGCTCGGCCCATGCTGGCTGGTCAACATCAATACTGTCAAGAATCTGGGAGAACTTCTGGCGATCTTCTGCCTTATCGATATCCAATGGATCAGTTCCAAGAACCTTGGCCTTGCCGGTCTCCTGTAATCGAAGGGCGATGTTTTGGGGAAGTTGACCTCCGACCGAGACAACGACATTAGAGGCCGACTCTAGTTCGTAGATATCCATCACGCGCTCGTAGCTGAGTTCCTCGAAGTACAGTCGATCGGCTGTATCAAAATCGGTAGAATAGGTCTCCGGGTTATAGTTGATCATCACTGTCTTCTTCCCCTGAGCTTTGAGAGAAAGAGTGGCGTTCACAGCGCACCAATCGAACTCAACGGAGCTTCCTATCCGATATACACCACTTCCGAGGATAATCGTGCCATGGTCATCGAATGTTATATCGTGCGAGGTTGCGTTGTAGGTAGTGTAAAGGCTATGTCATAACCATTAGCAGGGTATGCGACATCAGGCGCATGACTTACTAGTTGGTCTCCGCAGGGAACTCAGCGGCAAGAGTGTCAATTTTCTTGACGAAGGGCTTCACACCCATGCCTTTCCTTCTCGCACGGACTTGGTCTTCGGTAGCGCCTACGCATTGAGCGATCTGTATGTCGCTGAAGCCCATTTGTTTCGCTCGTAGCATCAGTTCCTTGCGCAGACCGAACAGACTGCCGATATCTTCCAGTTCGTGCTGGGCATCGGCAATTTCCATTAGCTTGTAGAGGAACCACTTGTCAATCTTGGTCAGGTCGTGCACTTGATCTACGGTGTAGTTCTCATGTATGAGTGCCTGTCCGACTGCAAGCCAGCGACGATCGGTAGGATTTCGTAGCTCTTCGTCCAAATCATCAAACTTATCTCCCTGGACGCCATTGTACTTTGGATCGACTTGTCGGATTGCTTTCTGGATAGATTCTTGGAAGGTTCTTCCTATGGCCATGACCTCCCCCACACTTCTCATCGCAGAACCGATATGCCGATCAACATGCTGAAATTTTTTCAAGTCCCAACGGGGTATCTTGGTAACAATGTAGTCTAGACTGGGTTCGAAATTCGCGGTTGTTGTTTTCGTGACAGCATTTGGTAATTCGGGGAGGGTGTACCCGAGGCCAATTTTTGCAGCGATATATGCTAGGGGATATGCAGTAGCCTTGGATGCAAGTGCCGAGGATCGGGATAGACGAGCGTTCACTTCAATAACCCTGTAGTCAAGGCCGTCTGGCTGCAACGCATATTGAACGTTGCATTCTCCACAAACGCCTAGATGGCGAACGATCTTGATGGCGGCCGTCCGAAGCATGTGATATTCCTCGTCACTGAACGTTTGCGACGGAGCTACCACGATGGAGTCACCAGTGTGAATGCCCAACGGGTCAAAGTTTTCCATGTTGCAGACCGTGATGCAGTTGTTGTTCCCATCACGGACAACTTCGTATTCGGCTTCTTTCCATCCTTTCAGAGACTTCTCGACCAAAATCTGAGGGGATAGGGAAAGCGATCGAGCAGACAGGTTGTGGAGTTCCTCTGGGTTGTTGGCGAACCCAGACCCAAGGCCACCGAGTGCATACGCTGATCGTACAATGATGGGATAACCTATCGACTCGGCCGCTTCAAGAGCCTCGTCCACAGTGTTTACGGCAGTGGATTCTGCTATGGGAATGTCGATTTCCTTGAGCGCTTTCGCAAACAGGTCACGATCTTCGCTAGTCTCCAGAGTCTTAATGCTGGTTCCTAGGACTTTGACGCCGTGCTTTTCGAATATGCCCATCCTCTGCATTTGCACTCCGAGATTTAGGGCGGTCTGACCGCCGAAGGCTAGCATGATGCCATCCGGTTTTTCTTTCTGGATGACGTGTTCGACGTATTCCGGAGTGACGGGTAAATAGTATACTTCGTCTGCAAGCTTGTGGTCTGTCTGAATGGTTGCGATGTTGGGATTTATGAGGACTGCTGTGACACCCTCCTCTTTCAATGCTTTCAGCGCTTGGGATCCTGAAGAACAGAACAAAGACGTCAGCTGGGGGTCCTAATGCGTCATTGGCCATCTTCTTGAAAGATTGGGCGCTCTGTGGGCTTGGGTGCTCACCAGAGTAATCGAACTCTCCAGCTTGCCCAATGCTCAACCCTCCACTACCAATGACCAGCACTCTTTTGACATCCACCAATTGTGTTTCCCCCGAAGCAAATGCTCCACTGGCGAGGTAACTCTTCGTATTAGGTGGCTCTTGGCTTGTTGCCAATCGTATTGCGGAGCTGGTGAAAGCTCTTGTGGCCGGAAATTTAAAGGTTCTGACCGGAGAGGGTTTCGACGAAGCATATTGGAGAGGTAGAATAGGATTGGCGGCGGCACAGGAGAAGAAGGCTCGTTGAGTGGGCATGGAGGAGCATTGTCGGAGCAGCCTTCGTGAGGGCCCTCCCAGACGCTTGAGCGCCATTGGAAGGAGCACCTCGAGGAATTGAAGCCCCGGTGACAACTTGAGCTTATAATATCTTCGGCTTCTGCTGAATGTGTTTCCGCTCAAACTTTGATCATGAAGTTGCTGTAGCTATAGCTCATAGTAGTGGGGAAGCTCAAAGTTCCGGTCGGCGGTGCTGAGGGTGTGGTGGGGAGGAAGGCAGCAGAATGCACAGACGTTCAAGAGAACGGAAGCTTTGAGGATTTCTATGCCAAAGAAAGAAGCAATTGCACCATAATTGGCACCAGGGTCAATTTTTTTGTGGGTGAGAAAATTGGAGGAAATAATTTGCTTTTCCCCGCGAGTGACATCCGCATTTTTTCTGTTAAGCGGCCTCTCCCGGCCCGATGACGGGAGCTACTCCTTATCGAGCTAGCAGAATTCAAGAAATTTAGGTATTGGAGTACTTGATGGAGCCTCTTCCTAACGGTATGAAAAGGGTTGTGCTCTCTATGATGAATAGATGCTATTAGCTGGCACGTAGAACTAATTATAAGACTTACAACGGTTGAACAAGAATAGTTGAAGCTTCTCTTATCAGCATCGGAAACAGATTTGAAGGATGCGTGTTCGCCATGACGAATGACTCAAAACATTCTTATTTAAAATAGTGATATATATACAAATAGAGACAAAAACTATTTAAAGATGCCCGCTTGGCATAGTGGTACTGCGTTTCACTCGTACGATTTATGAATATGAAAAGATCCTCGGTTCGATTCCGAGAGTGGGCAAATTTTTGGTCCTTCAATTCCCTGAGCGGTAACCTTTTGTTGCAGCTTCCCTTGAGCTATCGTAGTGGCGATTCTGACTCCCAAGATGCGTCAAGCTGTGGTGGTGAGATTTGATTTCTCGGCGGAAAGGTTAAGCGAGGCTTGCCAAGACTATCTGGGTACTGCTGTCTTATTTCCACATCTTTGTTGTTAAGAAGTCTTGAATATGTGCTTATTGTCATTATTAAAGCGCAACGAGAGTCCAATGCCCCAAGGGTGAAGTCAGTGAAACCTGTAGTCCGACTCAAGTACCCTTTGTCGTCAGCTGCTGCCGTTGAAAATTGAGCATCAGTAACTGCGAATATGCCATTTCGTTCATTATCATTTTTAAGCTTGAGCTGAACGGTTCTATCTTACGGCTGCTGTGCCTATTGGCAAGCTATCATGCTATCATTAAAGCAAGAGAGTTGAACTTTTGTAGCAATCGCTATATCTACCAACAAGCTACCATGCAATCATTAAAGCCATATATCTCGGTCCCTTCCTATCGTATACGTGCCTCGTTCCTCGTCGTTTAGAACGTCCTATGATACAGCCACCGGATACAAGTCCACCTCCACACAGCTCCTCGGAATCGTGTAATTGTAGAAGTAATATTTCCAGAAGAGCTGGGGAACACCGTGCCACCAGTCACAAGCTGTATAATTCTTATCACCATGATGCTTAGCATACTAAAAGAGGTGAGGACTTACCCAGCCATCTATTGAAGCCTCCGTGAGCTTCAGTCCATTGCAAGCCTGACCAGTTGAAGAAGAAACCTTCAGAGCCGCATCCGGTATCGACGAGTGCGAACTCCCATGCTACATTGACCTAGGGTCAGCCACGCCTCCTCAACAGGAAAGGGAGTAACAATATACCGGCATGATTTTCATCACCTCCCATCAGCAGTCCCCAAGGGAAAGTTGTGTCGTAGTCGAATTGCTAGTATGTACCGTTCAAGAAGCCGATAGAGGCATTGGCGATGCCCTCGAGGGTCACGTCGTTGGTGCCGGCGCCGAGAGAAGGATTAGCGGCTGCCTTCTCCATACCTGAGAGGCATCAAAAAGTGATGAGCATGAACCCGTATGATAGCCGCTGACGTAGAGACCCTCCTTGTCTGAATGGCCGCCGCCAACGACGCAGGTCTTGAGGTAGTAACGGCTTGGTGAGGTGACTGTGGGGCTAGCTGAAGGTGCTGAAAAGGCTGTGGAGGTGGTGAGGGCGAGAACGAGAGATAGGGCGGGGAGGATCGAGGTCGTGAGGCTGGAGAACAGCATCGTTGTGGTTTGTCGTAGTGTATGATGGATGTAGGATGAGGGTGAGTTGTGGAAAGAATTATTTACGTTGGATGTTTATATAGAGATTTGTTTTGGTCACCTGACGGGATCTTGCAGTATTTATGCTTCACTTTGCGGCTAGATATGGAAGGGACGAGCAATCGAAACCGAAACGGACCAATAATCATCTGCGGCACCTTGGCATTGAGTGGGAATGATGAGGAGCTCGTAGGGAACTCCGTGCTCAACGTAAGTAGTTTGCATCGTGGAAATCCAATTTATAGGTACTACGAGCTAAGGCTAGGCTGTGGCAACTTGCATACCAAGATTGGCCGAAGGAGACCTCGTATCACGTGCGTGTGATCATCGTGAGATAGTTCATTTCGGTGCGGGGAATGTTATACACAGCCATACGTGCTCTGCAGCTAACCGGCGGTGGGTTAGAGATGGGTTGATGAAGCATGCATCAAACCATCTTAGATGTTGGTGTTAGTCAATTGCAAAAGCTGGCACTGGACAGTGGCCGGAGGGTTCCTCAGCGCTTTCCCGAGAGGAAATGTGCAGCATCGTGACGGAAAGCACCGCGATGTTGACTCAATCCACTCAACATCCCTAAGTCGCTAGGTATGTTTGAATCTAAGGTGAAAGGTGCCGGAGCTAAATGGAGGTACTCAGGTTTGCAGAGGAATATTGGGATTTAGTCTCATACAAGAACAGCTTTGCCGAAGCCGTTGTGTGTTCTGCTCTAGAGAATGTATAGCCTTTCAGCGATGACCCGTCGACATTGTCGGCTTTCCTCCGTATTACACTAGGAACTCCTATTTGTACTGAGATGCCTTCTCTCACTCCAGAAAGCCCTGAAAGCCAAAACCCTGTTTCGCCCAAACCTCAAGTCCAATCAAACCCCACCCGCTCCTCATGATCCCTCGCCTCAACAGGCCCAAACCCCCGCCAAGAATCATGCCTGCTCTCACAATAAATCTCCGTCGTCTTCGTAATCCCTCCCATCTGACTAGTCCTGCCATTCAGCGTCTCCAAGCTCACCTCATCAGCACTTCTCATCCGGCTCATCCAACATCCCTGATCGCTCACACGGTTGTTAGTGGCAGTGATCTCAGCATGTGTCGAATTTGGGAGTGAGATTGGTAATGGTGTGATTTTGCTTCCGGGAACTTTGTGCAAGCGGAACTCGTCTTCGTCTAGTTGGCGGCCTGCGCCTGAGTTGGTTGTTAATTTACTTCGAGGGCCGGTTTTGCTACGGGACCAGCGGATTGAGGGGTTGAAGAATGGTTTCAGGGCTGGGATGCAGGCGGCTATGATGCCGATGTTTTGTTCGAGGCTGCAGTAATGAGACCTGTTAGTGCGTGGTTGGTGGACATACTTACTGCGTGAAATGGGAAGTGATCATGTTCAAAAGCTCAACAAGGTGCACTTACGAGGCTGCGATGTCTAAGCTGATCAGATCCCCTGATGAATGAATTAGTCTCATGAGCTTCAAGGGGAATCGTAAGCCACTGGCTTTTGCTAGAGCAGACTCACACGTTAGATCACTCGCTGCAAAACTTATTTCTAAAACGCTTCGGACCAGGGCACAAACTCCGCTACTATAGTACTCGAATGCGTCAGAGACGATTCTGGCAGCTTGAAAGCTTTGGTCTAATCGATAGGCTCACAAGAATCCCATAGCCATGAGTATGCAGATACCAGCTTTTACATTGGGACGCATTTGGACTTTCCACATGCAGAACATCGGCAGCCCGACTAGCATCCAGTCGCAGACCACTGAGACAGCTTTGACTTATATAAGCCAGGTTCATTGTCCTATATCGTCAAGGAAAAATCTTACCGCCGTTGTAATAGCCCGCAAAGACCACTGTCCCAGATGACACGCAAGTGCCTGGAACGGAAGGGTCCCAAACCTTCCTGAGCGGTCTGCATTCGGACAGAAATATGGCGGCGGAAGACAAATTCGTGACTGTCACAAAGGCCATAATGGAATAAAGGGCCCATCTCCATCTTTTCTTATTCCCGAAAAGCCGCAGAAGAAAGAAGCAAATTGAAATTCTGATAAACATATAGGAAAAGCACGTCAGACACTCCACTAAGAACTGCCATTTCAAGGCTTGAGATAAATGCAAGAGCGACTCCTTGGTGAGCTCAAGATAGTATTGGTGTCTTCCAAGGCCATGGATCTGGGCTAAATCTGCGAATACTTGCGCAATGATAGCAATGATCTATGGCATCTTGTTAGAGAGCCAAAGGGAGGTAGATGCACACGTGGAGTGTTTTCACTCACAATAGCGGCGACAATGAAAAGATCATCCACTCCTAGGTTCCGGGTGACAAAGGTTCGGGAAACGAGTCGCGCAATGACGAACATTATTGCCAACGCAGTAAAAGTTACGGCGGAGCCAAGGAGTTGGGCACCTCTGTTTCGGTCTCCACCGGGAGGTGGATTCCCGAGAGGTGCAGTGGGTGTTGACATCGCTGGATGTTACCAAGGAAGAGCCTGAATGGTCCAGCGATAGGAGCGCATCAATTGTCGTTGGAATCAAAAGAGAGTGGGAGAATTGCTAACAAAAAGAGAGGATTTATTCAGGGACGAAAAATGAGTAGCTGAAGCGTTCGATACGGGTCATTAGTACCTGATGTTCGAAATGCAAGTAAGACGTGTTGGGCGGGTGGCCTGAGAAAACCCGCCGAACCGGATGAACTGGGGTTCCACGTGGCACAGTGGTAAGAGAATGCGGCGTGTAACCCCATGTGCACACTCAAATGCGTGCCAATTGTTTCATGCACAGTATCCGTGGATATCCAATGCATGTATTGGTGGTGTGGCCCGTGTTCTACTCTGCCTGATCGGGGCTGACATGCTGACCGCTTTTGCGAAAACCTAGTCTCAGCTAAAGCAACCTCAACCAATGGAAATCTCGATCGGGTATAGCGACACTCCGGCACTGATTCTTGACTTCGAGCTCCTGATTAGCTATCTTAATGAAAAGAACACTGATCAACTCAACAGGCAATAAGGCATCCGGGCCCGCCCAAGTTGGCCATAGGATTAGGCAAGTTCGCCGCGGGATTAGGCACGCTGGCCGTAGGATTAGGCGAGCTCGCGATTGAATAAGCCAAGCTCACAGCAGTCGAGCCCGTAGGTGCTATTGACGGAGCAGCAACCGCGATGTTCGATGCAGAGTTGAAGTAGATTATAGCTTCTGGAGCCCCAGAAGGTACTGGTGAACCCTCAAGTAGACCTCGGTCGAGTGGTCTAGCGGGAGTCGTTGGGGCATTGCTTGCTGGACATTGTCCGACGTTTCCTTGATGCTATACCCCACGCACAGGTCTGGTTCGCGGGGCCGTGGAACGCATCTTGAAGGTAGATGTCGATTTCAATTGATCGTGGGAGAGTTGGTTGCGATGTGGCTACGAATGTTTGTTTAGTAGATGACCATGTTGAGAAGGCCCTGTGATCGAACTACCTGTTTGACGTCTTTTTCGACCGAAAATTGGCTGACTGGTCGCAGTGCCACCTCTGCTGCCGGATATTGGACTGGTGATACAAGTCGCTAACAGTATTTCGGCGACACCGCGTAGCGTGTCCCAGGTTGTTATTTGCTGTTGGTTAGAAGAGACTGCTATAGCGCAATTGCCTTGCCACCAGCAAGTTTTCTAAGCAGGTGCGTGTGAATTCAGAGCATCAAGATG